AAAAAGCAAAATGGAGCCCTAACTTACTTTATTCATATCAGGGAATATCAGAGATTTTCCATGGAATATTCTTTGCCAAATAAGGTAGGAGATGGGCTGTTCAGTTCCCAACTGGTTATGCCCAACTTCGGAGCTACAAGAGGGGTCTTCCTAGTAAAGCAGAGGTTGAGGTCATGTGCCTTGGGCAATCTAATGTGCACAGGGCCGCTGCAGATAGTTCCCAAGGAAAAACCTAAATTTGCCTGGCTTTGATACCAGGTGAAGACCCTCAAATAATTCATAGTGGCTTCCCCACAGACGTCCTCTTTGAATGTTCAAACTAATTGCATAAAGTCCTCAACTATCCTGATTAGCAGATACAGTGAGAAGAAACATCTCCATTTCCCTGACATCTCCTCACCTGATATTCAAGAATAGAGTAGGGGACAGCTAACTCAGTTATTGGGGCCAGTCTTTAGTCTAAATCATGGCAGAGAGGAATTAAAGACCGTGGCCAGTACTTTAGATGGGTGTCATTTTTTGTTTGTTTGATATATTTCCTCCCTTCCATTCCGCCTTCTTGTTATTATTTGAAACATTCTCACATGGTCTGGGACCATCATTACCCTCTGCAGCAGTGATTCTTATTCTTGTCTATAAAAGCTTCTCATGAAGGATGTGTGTGTGTTTTGGGTAGGGGAGTTGAACAGGATTGGGTTGACATGGAGAGAGGGATTCTTCATAATATATTACACTCCAAGTTCATGTTACCCTCAGTCACCATTGCCTTGGGCTTCCACTCTGCCTCTTTCTTCCATTCTCTGTTTCTGACACAGCCCAAAGAGGGTCCTCCCCAGAGATGGTGCCATGCTTTTTGGACTATCAGTCTCCCAAATTGGGAGGAAAAGTAGAAAAATAAACCTCTCTTCGTTAAAAATTACTCAATCTTGGGTGTTTGTTTTTAACAGAATGGAAAACAAATGCAGATGAGTTTTATGAAAACTTTTAGAAGAATAAGTTTTGATGAAGAAGGCTTAATGTGAGAAATTAATAAGAAACTGCATGATTAGACTTGAGGTCTCCTTGGAAGGAGTTATTGTAAAGTGCATAGAGCAAAAGTCATTGCCTTTGGTTAAGGAGTTCATGTGAAGAGGCACTGTGGAGTCAGTGAGTGTAGATTGTCCTTTTTACAAAGATTAATTGAAAAAGAAAGAGAAATAGGAAGGTAATTAGAGGCAGGATTAAGGGAGGTTTTGATTTTCTACAATTTGGAAGAGTTGAACTTGCCTAATAGAAGGAAAGAGGGCAAGACCATAGAAAAAGAGGACGACATAATGAAAGTAATGTTGACAAAGTAAACAAACTGGGAGTGGTGGCACCTACCAGTAATCCCAGCAACTCTGGAGGCTGAGGCAGAAGAAGAGTTCAAAGTTCAAGGCCAGCCTCAGTAATTTGGAGAGCTCCTGTCTCAAAACAAAAAGTAAGAAAGGACAAAGGATATAGCTCAGTGTTAAAGCCCCCCTGGGCTTAATCCCCAGTATCAAAAAAGGTGGGGGGGATGAGAACCAAAGGAACAATTCTAGAGAAGAACTGGGTTGGGATTTGGAGGACAGGTACTTTGTTTAGGTTAAAACAGGAGGAATCAATACCCATTGAAGCAAAGCTCCAGCGATAAGGGCTGGCATTGGTGAATAAGTATAATCAGGTCTTTTACTACATGGGGAAATTGTGATGTGGGCTCTCTCGTAGGTTCTAATAGGGTGAGAGGGTGAGGCCACATTGTCTGCAGTTATAGCCAACTCAGTTGACCCCCTTTATAAATTTACTTCTTCATTCCATCTACTTTTTCTACTCTCTGATGTATGCTTCATGGAATTTCTCTCAAATAAACTACTTGCATCCATATCTTCATCTCATATGCTTTGGGAGAACCCCAGTTTAAATGAGGTTTAGTTCAGACATTATCCAAGGCTTTCTGATGCTAGGCCTTGGATTTTTACATCTAAATATACTACATCCTTTTGCCAAACTGGGTATATGCCATGTTCTGGATACAAGTTGTGCCTTTTATGTCTAAGTCTTTGTCCATACCTGTTGGTGCTATATTAGATTGAGTAGTCTAAAAAAGGATCTTTTCAGGAGAGATGTTTGAAAACAGCAGAAGAGCTGTCAAGTTATGTCACTGTTCTTCACTTCCACTGTTTCTGAATCCTACTCCTCAAATAGCTGGCTAGAGAGATCTGCTATGTCTACTTCTACTCCTTTGTCTGTATCTAAAATTACAGATGCATTTTGTCTAAATGTAAGTCCATTTCAAAAGCTACATATATCTGTGTCATTGACTAAAAAAAAAATAGATACAGGCCAGAGTAGGAGAGAAATCTGGGAGATGAAGAGTAGCAGGAAAATAGTAACATCAACATATCAGTTGAAATTCTTGGTTGGTTACTGATGGGCTAATTTAGGCAATAGTGAATTTATTGTGTCTGATTTGTTGTCTTTGCAATACTGACTTTACTTCTGATGTATAACATTTATCCTAAATGTGGTCCTATAGTTGTCCAGACAACCTGAGGTATCTCATAGAATTCCTCCTCCTTGAAGGTTCTTCAAAGAAAGAAAGAAATGATGATTTCTTTCTCCTCACCTCTAAGGGCTGCTGAAACTCCACTCTGCTTTTAATTTGCTGTGTTATAGCAAATTAAAATTTGCCTCAGTGTCTTGTGCAGCTTAATTACTAATTACCTAAATGAGCTTTTTTCTTTGCTTGACAACCTGGTCCCTCAAACCCTGACTCCTTAGTAGCTCATTGATGGTTCGTACTTCATTCCTTTTCATTCATTTGTTTAGTTATTTACTTATTCATTTATTGGTTATCCTGGGGCTCAAACAAGGGTCTCATGTGTACTGAGCACCTGTTCTGTCACTCAGCTTCCCCCAACCCAGTCTTCAACTTTTTCTTGGTGCCATTTTTTGTTTGTTTGTTTGTTTTAATTAGTCACACATGACAGTACAATGACCTTGACATATCATACATTTGAATCAGATGGAATATACTTTATCATTTTTCTAAGTATACAGGTTGCAGAATCACATTGGTCATGCAGTCACATATATACACACAGTAATAATACTGTCTGTTTCATTCTACTATTCTTCCTATCTTCCCATCCCCTCTCCTCCCCTGCCATCACTTCTCTCTACCTAATCTAAGGTAACACTAATTTTTTTTTCTGCTACAAGATCTTTCATTACAGATTAAACCAGAAATTTCTCTCAACTTTCTTTATTGGAATGTAAAATTCCTGTGCCAAAATGTGAACGAATTTGAAAATGTTAGTAAAGTGATTTTCAGAGGATTGTATTATGTGCATCAGGACTCAGAGCTTTCTCATCTCACAGATAATTCTAGTTCTTTTTATTTTCTGTATGTATATATGGCTGTCTTGCTCACTATATATGAAATTAAACAGTCCCAATCTTGTTTCGATAGAAAAGAAAATGAAACTTTATTACATTTATTCTGTGTATCAGGCTTTGTAGTGAGCAGTTCACATTCATTATCAATTTGGATCAGGTTACTAAGTTTGAGTCCTTAAATGCTATTACTGATAGGAAATGTTATTATGTAATGAAAAATAAATATCTCTTAGCTCCTATTGTATAGTCTGTATGTGCTGCTTTCTATGGATATGCAAATAACAACAATATGACCCCAATCTCCCTTTAGTGAGGAGAGGCATTCGGTGCATGCTGCCGAGATTTGTGATAGAGGAAAAGCAAATACATGGGAGAATACTCTACTCAGTCATTGATTCTGTTATTTCAATATCCCTTCAACAAAAAATAAATGGGCTAAGGAGATGAGCAGGCACTTCTCAGAAAAAGATATACATTTGATCAATAAATATATGAAAAAATGTTCAATATCTCTAGTAATTAGAGAATTGCAAATCAAAACTACTCTAAGATTTCATCTCACTCCAGTCAGAATGGCAATTATCAAGAATACAAGCAATAAGGGACGGGGGTTTTAGCTCAGTTGGTAGAGTGCCTGCCTAGCATGTAGCAAGGTCCTGGTTCAATCCCCAGCACCACCAAAAAAAAAAAAAAAAAAAACAGAATATAAACAATAAGCACTAATAAGTGTTGGCAAGGATGTGTGGGGAAAGGTACACTCATATATTGCTGGTGACACTGCAAATTGGTGCAACTACTATGGAAAGCAGTATGAATATTCCTTGGAAAACTTGAAATGGAACCACCATTTGTCCCAGCTATCCCTCTCCTTGATCTATACCCAAAGGACATAAAATCAATATGCTATAGTAATGCAGCCACATCAATGTTTTTTGCAGCTCAATTTACAATAGCTAAACTGTGGAACCAACCCAGATGCCCTTCAACAGATGAATGGATAAAGAAACTGTGGTATATATACACAATGGAATATTACCTAGCATTAAAAGAGCATAAAATTGTGGCATTTGCAGGTAAATTGATGGGAGTTGGGGAATATCATGCGAAGCAAAGTAAGCCAATCCCAAAAAACTAAAGGCTAAATGTTCTTTCTGATAAGTGAATGATGATGATGATCCATAATGGGGGAGGGGAAGAATGGAGGAACTTTGATTGGCAGAGGGAGGGGAGGGTCAAGGGGGTAGGAAAGATGGTGGAATGAAATGAACATCACTACCCTAGGTAGATGTATGGTGTGACTGACTCTACATCGTGCACAATTAGAGAAATGAAAAGTTGTGCTCCATTTGTGTACATGAATTGAAATACATTCTGCTGTCATGTATAACTAATTAGCATCTGGAGCCATTCTAGAAGGAGCTATGTACACACTTTTAAGTGCTGAGTAAAGAGGTACTGAACTGTTATTGCACCTGTTGCAATGTAATTGAACCTTACCTCCACTTGGATAAGAAAGGTGCAGCTCCAGGAATGGGTGTCACCCGATGGGGTTGAGTTACACCCACTTGTTTGTTGTAACCCTACCCTTTGTCCTTTTTTAGAAAGAATGTTCCATGGATTAGCTCCCCCCATTAATAAACGTGAGTTCGGGGCATACTCCTCCTCTTTCTTGCCTGCCTTGCTCAGCTTATGGGAGCTGTGGCTGAGGAGCGGTCACTGAACCCAAAAAAAAAGGTACTTTCTGTGTCTGTGTCTTTATTTAGTCAGCCCAAATTTATTCAGAGTAACCCTGATTGATTTAGTTGCATGTCCTTGCAAATTAGAACAAATAAAAAAAAATCCTCTCACAAATTCTATCATTTTTGTCTTCTTTCTTTGTAGATGGCAGAACAAAACAACAGCAGCAGCAACAACAACAACAAAAAAACCCACACCATATAAATAAATAACTGTGAGATTGGACCTCAATATTTCTGAATCTTTGATGGCCGGTGGCAAGCATAAAATGTCTATTCTAAAAGTTCTAGAATTTTCCCTTAATGACTCTAAAGAGAGAGCATGAAAAAATGTATCAGTCTTAGAGGAATCAATCACTTTGACGACTATTTTTGCCATGCACATATGAGCAAATACCTTTGCCTTGGATCCTGAGAGATTTCTAGTTATTGGTAAAATCATCCTAGTGCAAATATAAAATTTTTAAATGAGAATTTAAAAAGCTCAATATGCTAGGTTCTTATCTCTAATACACATGTAGGAAAATAAGTTGTTTGAAATGAACTATATGTAGGACAATCAATAAATTAATCAAAATGTGTATATAATTGTGAACATTAAACTTCTTTGTTCTCAACATAACATACAGCTATTTCAAAGTGAAAGCAAGAAACTGTTTCATCGAAAATGATATTTAGGGTTTCTCTCTCTCTCTCTCTCTTTCTCTCTCTCTTTCCTCTCTCTCTCTGCTCCTTCCTCCCTATCTGTAGTGCTGGAGATTGAATTCAGGGCCTTGTGCATGTTAGGTAAGCACTCTTTCATTGAGCCACATTACCAGCTCTCTATTTAGAAAATTTATCTTGAAAAACAAGGTCAAATTTTAAATTTAAATGTGCAAATACATTTTTTGACAAAGTACATATATGCATGTGTATTATCTTCATAAACACACACACACACACACACACACACACACACACACATTTTTAAAAAAGTTTTTGAGACAGGGTTTTACTATGTTGCCCAGGCTGACCTCCAACTCCTGGGCTCAAGTAATCCTCCTGCCTCATCCTCCTATGACTAGGACTACAGGTGCATACCATAGTCCCTGGTTCAAATCTATGTTTTAAAATTTTCAGCTACAGTCCAAAATTTTGTCAGAAGGACTAACAATGCTGGGGACTATAGTTTGAGATTATATCATAACAGTATGTATCATCATGTGTTTTCTAATTAATTGGATGATATTTCATGTGGAAATAATGTTTTAAGAATCTAAAAACCAGAGAAAAGAGATCCATTTAGATCATATTTTTTAAAATACTTTTTTAAGTTGTTGATGGACTTTATTTATTTATTTATTTACATGCAGTGCTGAGAATCAAACCCAGTGCCTCACACATGCTAGACAAGTGTTCCACCTCTGAGCTACAACCCCCAGCCCTTGATCATATTTTATCAAAAATTCAATCAATGTAATTCGATCAATGTCATTCCCCAGTAACTTCTCTTTCCCTCAACTGAAGGCAGTTTTGACCCCCAGGGACACTTGGCAACACCAGCATTCATCTTTGGTTGATACAATTAGGAAGGCAGGGATGGAGATGTCAGTGGCATTCAGTGGACAGATGCCAGAAATGCTGCTAAAGAGTACAATGTGCAAGAGCCAAACGTCCTTAGTACTGAGGTTATGAAACCCTCAGTAGGCAATGAACTGTAAACACAAAGAAGGTATAGACCAGGGTTCGTCTGCTTACTCTGAACTTGGCCCAGTTCCTGGCACTTGGTAGGAAAATATTGGATAATTCCTTTTATTATTTTTTTAATTTTAAAAGACATTTAAAAATGTGTCTTAATATGAGCTCTTGTCTTCTTTGTCCCCATATTTTTATACCATACAGCTTAATTTCTTCTTCATCTTTTAAGTGTAAAAAATCTGTTTTCTATTAGAATTTAACCTTATTGGGTGGAAAAATTTTAATGGTATACAAGCTTATGGGGAGATTCTTCTTTAATAAGAAAGCTGTTATTGTTCAAAAGCATAAAATGTATGCAGCTCCAAAGTTCTTGTATATATAGTATAGTAAAAGAAAAACAAACATTCCTTTACTAGAACTCATTTTAATTTTGAAGGAAAAAATAGAATAAGAAAACATCTTTTGCACTTTTGCCTGTTAGGAAATCAATGTAGACATGGTTAGATAATGAGAGAGTAGAAATAAGAAAGTCCAGGTAGGTGAGAAATCTCTGAAAAGAAGAGTAATGAATAAGCATTTCATTTTATCTTAACTGGTATACTGGGGAGGACACAAGTTTTGTGTAAAGTAAAGCTATGCATTTTGAGAAATATGTCAAATATCTATCAATATTATTTTTTACATGCTTCATGTAGCAGGCCTACCGGGAGAGCAGTCAGGTTTGAGCAAAATTCAGAGAACTCTGGGAGGTCTCCAGGAGCCAAGAGTGTACTCAGAAAATTTCTCTCTGGCCTTCAGCTTACCTGTTTGGGAGACTTATTTCAAGGGTCAGAGTTCAATCAGAGAAGCAGAACTTCTATAAGGGTTTGACTTAATGCAATTGTGGGAGCTGGCTAAGCTCTCTCTGAAAAGTTGCTCTTTACAGATCATGTTAGAGCTTGAACGGACAGAAGTAAGAAGGTATCGCGATGTGGCTAGCACCTGTCTAGTGATTTTTCCTGTTCAGGAGGGGATAAGCTACCTAAGAAAATAAAGTCTGAAGTACTTAGTGAAGAAATAGGACAAAGTCAGAATTAGTTTTAAGGAAGCGCCTGATAGGATCTTCCAGTCCACGCAGGAGCTGGAACAAAGCAATTAGACATTGGCTCCGGTGGTTTATTTAAGGACAGGGAAAAGGTTTCACCAGTGGAATCTTGCTTCTTGAGGTCTTGCAGTCAAGAGGTTGATTGGCATCTTGGGAAGCCACACCCATCTCTGTGAGTCCATGTGCCCCTTCTCTGGTGCTGTGTGGGACCTGGCAGAGCTGCATAGGAATTCACAGGTATTTGGGTGGTCTTAATGTATTTGGCAGCATTGCCACTGGAAGTTCCCAGACACCAGATTTCCTATTAACTTGCTGTGATGCTGGTCCACGGATGGCTCTGGACAAGAATGGTAGGTGGATATAAGGCAACAAGAAGCTGGAGTCCATGTGGATGGACCGTTGAAACCTGAGTCAGTTCTTGTGGCCTCTACCTTTGGTGATGTGGGCATCCTGCAGAAGTCAGACCCTTTGTCATGTGCTGAAGGAAGATCCAGGGCAGGGGGGAGCAGTCACAGGCCTGGCTCTTTTATGCTATGGAGATGAGTGACAGCATGTGTGAGCTACAAAGATGGTTACCATGTCCCTTCTGTCCTCCATATCTCCTCATGAATCTCTCTTGTGGCTCACCCAGTGAGAAACATAAAGGGAAACGAATTCTAGAAAATTTAATTCAGTCTAGCCAACATGCCCCACTTCTTTCCCATCTTCTTTTTTATAGATTTTTACCTTATTTTTTTTTTTTAAGTCTGGTGTCAGGAGAGTATTTTTAAAATTCCTCATGTCTATTTGATCATCCCACTTAACAGCTTGGTTGTACAAAGAGTCCTTATTAGGAAAATATAAATTCCCTCTGAATTTTTAAGATATTCTTTCTGTGGAAAAGGGTACTGCCTTTTTTAGCATGAGTTCTTTTTACATGAGTTTTTCCCTTCTGAAAGCTTTGGCCGCTCTTCACTATCACTATCTTTCAAATTTTCATCATGACGTTGATCAAGGTGTGGGATTTTATTTTTAATTGATTTTTCTGGACACTGCATGGGTTCTTTCAACTTCATTTCCTTTGATACTGGGAATTATTTTTCTATTATTTCCTTGATAATTTACTCTCCATTGTTTCCTATGCTCTCTTTGAAAGTTTTAGTAGGTGGATTCTTGATTCCCTGAATTAAACCTCTAATTTTCTTATCTTTTTCTCTCCTGTTTTCCACATCCTTGTCACTTTATTCTACTTTTCTGGGAGGTTTCCTTGAATATATATTCTAATCGATTCAGTGATTTAAAAACAATTTAACTACTATATTTAATTTTTTTTGTATTCTTTCTTCTTCACAAATTGTTCCCCTTAAAAATTAATAGCATTCTATTCTTGTCTTTTATTTCTCTGATAATATTACTAAATATAGTCTGGGGAACATTTATCTTCTGCAAATATCTTCCTTTAAAAAAAATTTAAAAATAGCCGCACACAGTGGTATATCCTTGTAGTGAGCTACTTCAGAGGCTGAAGCAGAAGGATTGAGCGGGTGACTTGCAGATCAGCCTGGGATATATGGTGAGATCCTGTTACAAAAAAATAGAGCATAGTAAAATAATAAATATTTTAAAAACAACAACCTCTCTTTACCCTACTTGCCACTTGTAGCAGAATAGGTTGACTCATTTCAAGGATCCGTTCTCAGTCCTCACTTTACTCTATTGATCCCATAGATTAGCCCCTCTTCCCAACAACATCTTCTTACCTGATTTACAGGATGCCACTCTCTTCTGATTTCCCCCAACCTCACTGAGAACTCCCATCTATTTTTCTTTGCTTCTTGCTCCTCTTCTCCCCAGTCTGTCAATATTTGAGAATCCCAGGGCTCTGTTCTTTGTACCACTTCTCTTTTGGATACATATTCACTTCCTTGATTTCTTCATCCTTTCTTATGACTTTGAATAGCATTCTTTAATGACATTAACTTCAAAATATTTCTCAGCATTTTTATTTGCATGTTTAACAGCGTGCACTTAAAATATCCAAAATAAGAGTTCTTGATCTCTCCTCGTCAGCTTCAAATGTTTTATTTCTTATTCTTCCCTGCCTCAGCTTATTGGTATGTCCATCCTTCTAATTGCTCAGATCAAAACCTTTAAAGTTATCTTTGACTCCTTCCCCACACTACTCACATTCAATCCAACGAAACCATTCTTTCACTTTCAAATTATACCCCAAATCTAATCCTTTCTCTTCACCCTGATAACTACCACCCTGTTCTCAGTCACTGTCATTTCTTGCCTGGCATATTCCCTTTGTCCATGAACTGGTCTTTTTACTTCTACCTTTATGGTCCCCAAATTAAATCTTTTCTCTCTCCTTTTTTAAGGGATGACAGAGGGGAGGGGCCCAAGCCTCCTGAGTATCCAGGACAATAGACACACAACCAAGGCACCAGCCGAGTCTTTTCTTTTAAATATACTATTCTTTGGTTCAAATATCCCTCAGTGGCTTTCCACATCTCTCAAAGTGAATTGACAGACTAGTAGGCCCTGTGTGATCTGGATGCCCATTAACTCTCTGAATTCACAGATTGCTTGCTTCTGAGCTATTCCTTGGACAGTCAGATTGCCTTTGTCTGAATGCCTCTCCTTTCCCCCATTTCTTGAAATCCTCATTATTGAGTTTCCTATCACCTTCAAGAGTTTGCTCAAACATCATCTCTGTAAGACCTTGCCTGACCTACTCTATTTAATCTTGTATCTCCTCCTCGCAACCCAATCTCCCCTCTCTCACGTCTTTTACAATATACGACATCACCTTCTAATGTATTGAACAACTACTTACTCTGTTTGATGTTTACTTTCTGCCTCCATCAGAATGCAAGCTCTAGGAGGGCAGGGACATTTTTTCACTGACCATCACATAGTAGATATGCAACAATATTTCTTTTTCCCTGGATCCCTCCCCCCACTTTTTTTTCTTTTCCCTTGTTTTTATCTGTTTTTCACAGTGAAGACATTTACCATCTGTCTGCTACTCTTTGGCTGTCTCTATGTGAGGTACCCAAAGCGCAAACTGAAAGCTAGCTTTATGTGCGTAGATGGATTTTGTGGACCCTAAAGCTTCAATGTGCAATTTAAATGGTGAGCTAGATTATCTATGTAAAGGCTACTGTATGTTTGTATCATTCCATTTTTTTTTCTCTGAGCTATTCCATTTCTCCCAAGAGGAATCCATACATCTCCAGCCCACTTTGTGCGCTCCAGATGCTCACAGCTCACATACACAGCCCATGGCTGGTTTGCCACATACATAGCTCCTGTCCAGAGCAGCTCCCAACAGTGACTCATCTCTTCTGATGTTCTTGACATTGCCAAATGAAAATGCTTTCCAGATCAAATTAGCTTAGGGGCAAAATAGGGGCAAAAAAGTGGGCAATATGTGGATAGAGAGTAGGAACTCCATGGAGGTAGGGGCCACTTCACTTGATATAGTATTTCACTACCACCCCCATTTTCAGCCTTGACTCACCCTTGAATTTTGTGTTCCTTCCAAGAAGTAGTTATGAGCTTTTGTCTTCTCATGTATCACTTCTGTTTTCTTTGGCACTGTGAGTTTATGCCTTTTCATTTCTTTGTTGTCATTTTAGAGGGATTTGGGGAGGGAACCCAGATAAAAATGTATGGTCAGTCCACCATAGTTATTAAGAAGGTTTTGACGATGATCTTCTTTTTATCTAGGTGCAGAATTATATTTATTTGGGGGAGAAAACATTCCCTTTTCTTGGAGGAAAGCTTTAATGAGATTTTTATTACCATAAAATTAAATCCCAGATTATATTGTGAAATAGAAAATTTGTGGAAATAAGAAGCAATATTTCTCTGCATAATCCTAAATGTTTGTCTTTTCAGCAGTCGTGACTATATTATCAGTGTTTACTATTATAATGACTGGGGAGATAGAATATTCACCCCTTTTTATGAGGCAAGACAGGATTAAGGGTAGGACATGAACAAGGATGCTTCTGCCATGGCATAATGAATTCTGCTATTAGGTATAATTATAAGACACCAATAAAAAAAATTAAAAAGGTCACTTCTGCCACGTAGGTTATGTAGCCCCTTCAATGTGGTAGTCATCCGGGTCCATGGACACAGGGAGAATAGGAAATCCCAGTTTTCCTGCTCTACTTTATAACTTTCTTCCATTATTCCCCAGGTTTCAGACACTTTTCTAAATATCACAGCCTACTAAAAGATTCTTTGAGAAGGTGTGGTGAGCCAGCCATGGGCTGTGGGTGTGTGAACTATGAGCACGAGCACATAAGTGGACTGGATTGACGTTGCCTCTCTGTTTGGGCTGGCGATGAATGTGTTCTTTTCACTCACTCTGCCTAGGATCCCCACACAGCACATGAGATGGGTGTGGCCTTCCAAGTTGTCAGTCAATCTGCTGACCACAAGATATCAGGAAGCTAGACTCTCCCTGGGTGGAACTTTCTTGAGTGTCTTCCCCTCAATAAAATGTAGCTTCAGAACATCCTCTTCCTCTTTTTTTGTCTGCCTCCCTTGTGGGAGCTGGAGAAGAGGGGCCACGGCTGAAGAATCCCAAGAAAAAAGTATTTTCTCTGTCTTGGTATGATTATTTCGTGCCAGCCCAGTCCACCTAGAGTGACCCTGAATGACTTAGTCGTGTGTTGTGACAGGAAGGTGCTTGTTTTCAAGTCTGGGTTAGACTCGAAAGAAGAAGTAGCCTTTTCCCACCATCTCCATTCTCTTTTAAGATCTACCAGGTGGCAGAAGTAGTACTTTAAGGGACCCCGATGATTCCAGAACTCCAGGAATTGACCAGCAACAGAGCAAAATAGCTATTTTTTTTTAAGACAATAGTATGGGTTTTTAACTTGGTCATTGCAATTTGTCATTTTCTGCTTAGAGCACCAGGATAAATTCCACTGGTTACGTTGACAACAAGAATAGTTAAGGGCTAGGGTTGTGGCTCAGAGGTACAGGGCTCACCTCGAACATGAGAGACCCTGGGTTCGATCCTCAGCACCACATACAAAAATAAACACGTGAAATAAAGGCGTTGTGTCTAACTATGACTAAAAAGTAAATATTAAAAAAAAAGAATAGTTAAAAGTGATTAATTAGTAAAATTGGTTTTACTAATTTTAAGATGCCTTTCCATTGTAATTTCTCTGACTTCTGCTACATGAGAACAAATATTGTATCGTCTCAGGACTTTGCCTGAGATGACATCCAAATCAACATTTTAGAAAGAAGTTTTATTATCTCCACCTGAAAAGGTTCTGTTGTTGGTCTGGAATAAGACTATACTTTTTTTTTTAGCTTTTAATGATTTTTTAAAAATTTGTTCTTATTAGTTATACATGACAGTAGAATGCATTTTGACACATTGTACACAGATGGAGCACAACTGCTCATTCCTCTGGCTGTACATGGTGCAGAGTCACACTAGTCCTGCATCATACCTGTATATAGGGTAATAATGTTCATCTCATTCTACTGTCCTTCCCACCCCCAAACCCCTTACCCCCACCCCAACTCCCTTCTGCCCAATCCAAAGTTCCTCCATTCTTCCCTACCTCCCCCCACCCCCATTATGGATCAGTACCCACTTGTCAGAGAAAATATTTGGCCTTTGATTTTTGGGGGGTTTGGCTTATTTCCCTTAGCATAATATTCTCCAACTCTATCCATTTACCTGCAAATGCAATAATTTCATTCTTTAAGGCAGAGTAATATGGGATGAAGACTATTCTTAATTCCTTAATTTCCTTAATACTTAAATATGTTCCGTTCTAAATATTTTAATAAAAGGCACATCTTAAGTGTAAATTTTATAATTTTATAGAGGACATACTGTCTTATAAGCCCCCATAAAAGATGCATTTCACTAATTGTGAGTCAAGGTTGGAAAATACAGTATACTGGCAGAATACACTAACGGGCATAAGATCAGTTACCTAAGTCCAGCTGATGATGGAGCTGAGAGCAGATATGGCCACTTCTGCAGGTTTGAGGGTCCTGGAGATGAAGAGGCCTGAAATTAAAACTTTGTACTGGGACTGGGTCAAATGTCACATAAAAGGCATGTGTCCAAGTCAGCAGGCACAGTAGAGGATCCAGAGGGTTTGAATGACAATGGTGTCGCATTGATGTGTGAATTGAAGAGTTCTCTGAATGAGGTCTTCCAAAAGGAGAAGAGAAGAATTTGTCAGTGGTCATCTAATCTATCTGGGAACCAGAGCAACCTGATCTTGATGGAACCCTGCCTGTTGTCTAGTGAAAATATTCTCAAACCAGAGAAAAACAAGGAGGCTTCCAAGATTCTCCAATACCTTTTATTCATATTCTTTGTTCTCCAAAATTCCTTTAGTTTGATTTGCAACCCAGTGTGACTTTGCCCACAGAAAGTCTCCTGTGCAAAATATCTGAACGCGTTATTTTACAAGGCAATTCTCTTTTTCTAAATTAATATGTTACCATTTCTGTTTTATATATCCTTTGAGAAATGAAGTGTTTAGTCAGTTCTCCAGAGACTAATTGCTCTGAGGCTAAGTGCAGAAAATCTAACTTTTAGGCAAGTGAATATGAGATGTGAGCCTTAATAATCTCACAGTTCTTTTCAGGGAAACCCCCTTTAAAAACCATGCCTACAAGAATGCATTACTTCTATTTCTTGTCCATTGCCTCAAACACTGGATCCAAACTGCTCATCTTATATTACTATTTTTTCACACTTCTTACAGCCATTGAATTCGAGTCTCGTTCTTATTTCACAGCTTTGGCACCATCATGCAAGTTCCCAATTTTTACCTTTGTGTGTTTGTGTGTTTGCACAGACACACACATTTCATGCTTGAGGTCAAACTCAGGGCTCACACATGTTAAGTAAGTATTGTTATAGTTAAAGCTTCATCCAGGGGTTTCATAAACTGACTTCCAGACCACTCACATATAATTGAATCAAGCCTTTATTGAAGCACACTGATGACGACTGACTAGAACATAAAGCTGTTCCCCTGATCAGCCCCGAACAATTGCAAGGGCTCTCCTTATAAGCCTGAAAACCACAAAAGGAAGCCTAACCAATCACAGTTAGCCCAGTCACCCAAGTTACAGAAACAGAGCCCCATTACCCTAGTTACAGAAACAATGCCCCCATTAGGCAGTTCCGTGTTCTTAAAGGTTTCTATAGCAAAAGGAAAAGAACATCTTGCACCAGTCATGACCCTTCTCCTTGGCATGTTTTACAGAACGGAGTCACAAAACAAAATGGAGTCCCATTTGCTTTTACTATCACAGTGCTTTGCCACCAAGGTACATCCCCAGCCCTGGCCTTTCTTGCTGTCAATTCTTCCACTATATCTGGCAATGTATCATGGACAGAAGGACAGAAGGAATAATATTACTTCTAGCAATTTCAGTTTTTGCATGCCTTCACAGAATACTGACCCTAGATTCTGTCCTTACTGATTAGTTTTTTTCCCCTAAGTTTCTCCAAGAAATGACCTCAGCTAAATCTTTGATTGATAGCATAATCTGGCTTTAATAGTGAGAGCATAGATTCTGAGCCAGATTGCTTTTGAATTCTGGCTTCGCCTCTTGCTAGGCTGTGTGACCTCAGACCAAGTCACTTAAACCTCTCTGTGTTAATTTCCTCATTCATGAACTGGGAGATATTTGAAGTGCCTATTTTAGAACTGTTGTGACTGAATGAGTTAATAAAATTAATATTGTGGCTGGGTGGGTAGCTCAGTGGTAGAAGGTCTGAGTTCAATCACCAAGAAGGAGGAGCAGAGAAGGAGTGGGAAGAAGAGATTGAGGAGGAGAAGAAAAAGAAAAGGAAAGAGCACATAGTTACTCTATCTAGCATGCAATAAGTGTGCCATATGTGATAGGAACAGTTATTATTTAATATTATCCACCCTCCTCCAAGGAAGTAAACATAGGGTATACCAATTGCTGGAATGGGAAGAAAGCAACGGGAACACAAGGAGGAAAAGTAGATTTATATTTCAAAGTATTTTATTTTACCAGAGATAATTATCATGTTAGCTAAATAACTCCAAATTTTGCTTTTGAAATTTAAAGTCAGCAACTTGAATTCTCTGCCATTTTGAATGTATGATTTGCATTCTCCCATGTATGTAAATCACTTCAGCTTAATTGATTTTTTTTTCTTTCCAGCAAGTCACCAGGATTACCTTTTCCTTCTAAATTTCCGAGTAAAGTGCAGGAAAATGTTTAATATGAAGGTCAAACACAGCCAGTGCTCCAGCCCAGTAAACAATGAAGAACAGAGGGAAAATACAACTTCTATTTTACTGGAATCTGAGTTAATAAATAGGGACCACAGAACAAAGAGCAAATAACTACTTGAGTAACATCAGAATGAATAAAGAAAGGATGAACCTGGATATTCAGTCTGAAGTTATTGCACAACATGACTAACAGAGTTAACAAGTCACCTATTACACATTAGAAAATCCTCTAGAGGATTTTAAAATAAAAGGAAGTATTTTTTCCAGAATATAATTGATGCTTATGGATAAATTTCACAACTTCACACCTTAGGGAATACTTTGGGTTTTTTTTAAAGAATAAATTGACCATTTCATCTTGGCAATTATTAACCTGCCACATTTTTATAACTAAGAAAAATTTGGCCTCTTTCCATATTTTAGTTAAAATTTCATATTACTCATATCTGTACAGATCATGGTTTATTATCCATAGGATCTATAAAGCAAAAATTAATACCCCTATAAAGCTGAACTTTGATTTTACTTAATCTTCAACTGAGCATTATTTACACTAACGTACAAAAATTCTTTGAGCACAAAAATAAGAGGTTAAAATATAAAGATATAGAATTGGATCTTTTATAAAAACTCATACAGAGAAAAACGGAAAATATCTAAGTATTGGGATTTTCCTTAAATCTTTTTTTTTTTAATTTTCCTTCCAGTTAAACCAATTTCTTCATGTTGTTTCTGGATGAAAGCCAGAATCAACATTCTCTGTATTTCTAATCAAATAATGGATAAAAATTACAAATTCTGAACGTAGTTAAAGGATCCTAGGAGGCAGAGTGTCTGGACCAAGCCTGAGCTGTCTTCTCTGACTCATTTCTGACTTTAGGCAAGTTATTTAATATCTCTGTGCTTCTTTATGTGACTGTAATATTGTTAATTTATTTCACAGGTATGGAAGTTACCACAACTCAAGAAATAACCGTTGGCTTTTGAAAGAAATCAGATGATTAGCAAGAAGGCAGATTATGCACCCTAGAAAATAGATGGAGAATTATATCTTCTTTCCATTCTCTTTATATTTTGAATCATGGGAGTTTGATGTAAATGATAGGATTTGCAGTTTCAATCTAAAATGAAAAATAAACTAGACCACATTAGAATTTTCACTTCACAAATGTTTTATGTTATTTCATCTATTTGGGAATTAAATTTTAGTTTTTTAAGGCTTAAGTCAAGCATAAATTCTTGAGATAAATAACAAAGATATGATTATATTCCATTTTTAGACAAAGGAAAATTTTAGAAGAAAATGTCCTAAGAAGAATCTCTAAGGTGGTGTTTATGGGTAAATTTTTAACTGTCTTACATTAAGGTTACATTCATTTGTGAATGCTAACTTATTAAACATGCTTCCTTCAGTAACTCTTCTGTCTTATTTCTTTTGCCTTCTTTCTTTTCATAATGGCCTACTTAAAACATCATTTTTGAAATTTTATGTTACTAATGTACTTTGCTTTGTAATTGTGTTTTTAAAAATTATGTGCAGCTATAGAATTTTTCATTTCCAAATTTAACATTTTTGCCTTCCAAGTTAATGGTGTAATTAACTAATTGTTAAGTGGAGAAAGAATTAAAATTTGTAGCCTTAAATTTATTTATCTATTTTTATTTATTTAGGTACTGGGGATTGAACCCAGGGCCTCCCACATGCTAAGCATGCACTCTGTCACTAAGCTACACTCCCAACCCCCTAAAAATAATTTATATCAAATAATATAGCCCGTTAAAGAATAACCATTTGAAAATGATTCTAGTTTCATAATAATTTTAATAATTCTAATAGTAATTTATAATTTTAAGCAGCCCAAAGCAAAAAAATTTATAAAAGAAATGCAACTAATTGTATAGTATAGAACAGAATATTTTGTTACAGGTTTACTATAGGCGAGATTTGCAGAATAAATAATGGTGTACTATAAAGAATTATGCAAACCAGATTTTCAAAGCAAGCTTTATTTTTGCTGGGCTGAGATTGAACTCAGGGCTTCCCACACACTAAGCAAGCATGCTACTACTGAACTACACCTTAACCTCCAAAGGAAATTTTCTAATACAGAAACATTTTTTTCCACATGGCAATTGTTAATTAGAATTATAAAGCAGGACACTGAGAAATTTTAGAGGACTTAAGATAACTCTCAGGGATTATTCTAAAGATAGTAAAATTAATATAGTGATTTTGAAAAATATATAATGTCATTTTGAAATGCCTTATTGTTTAAGCATCTACCAGACTAGGAGCTGCTTCTTTTCTCTGGGACAAACTATATTTAATAATTTTAATGGCAATGAGATGAAAATTTTAGGACACCAAGAGACAGAGACCTGTATAAACATTTTCATTAGCTTTTATTTTCTATCAAGTCTAATGCTAAATAAAATTCATATACATTATAAAATATATAATATCAAATAAGAGAAAGGGGCCAGCTGTCAGGCCTATAATTCCAGCAACTTGGGAGGCTAAGGCAGGAGGACCCTGTGTCAAAATTTTTTTTAAAAGGCTGGGAGTGCAGCTCTGTGTAAAGCATGCTGAATTCAATCCTCCGTACCACTCCTAAAAAAGGAGAAGGAAAAAGAAATAAAGGATACAGTGTTTACTACTGTCTTTTTTTAGCAGTTCCTTTAATCAAAGGCCTGGTCAGCATTAACTCATTGGTTCATTTCAGTCACAAGAACAATTTGAGTTGAAGTTCCAAATAAGTACTTTTTTATATTCTATTTTTTATACCAATCTCTAAAAATGATATAAGTACACCTAATGAAAGTCGTCTTCTTCCTCTTCCTCCTCCTCCTCCTCCTCCTCTTCTTTTTCTTCTTCTTCTTCTTCTTTTTTTTTTTTGGTATGAGAATTGACCTCCGGGGTACTTGACAACAGAGCCACATCCCCAGCCCTATTTTGTATTTATTTAGAGACAGGGTCTCACTGAGTTGCTTAGCGACTCGCTGTTGCTGAGGCTGGCTTTGAGCTCCTGGTCCTCCTGTCTCAGCCTCTTGAGCCTCTGGGATTAGAGGCGAGTGTCCCGCGCTTGGCTATTCCATTCTTTAAATAAGTAATATCCCCTCTCAGAGCCTCATTTTCTCATGTGTTGATTTCCCAGGATCTCTGACTGGATGGATGATCTCACTTCCTGTGATTATGTTTTGACATCTCGTTCCAGCCTCATGGGATAATGCTTTCTGCCTAAAATCTCTTTATGTTTTATAAAAATATTTTCTGTGTTTCATCCTAATTTTTTATTTTTGATTACTTAAAAACATTTTTTCTTGTTTCTTATTTCCTGTAACTTTAAAATTTCTAGGACTATGTTTATGATTATGTAATTGATTACATGTATGAGAAATCTCTATTATACAGAGTCAAAGGGTTACTTTTGTTGTTGTTTACTTCTTAGTACTTGAACTTTAACATAAATCTTGAAATTAAATTTAATTAAAGGCCAGAAGAGATTTTTTGAAAATTTCAGCATATCATATCTGTTGTAATTTTTAAAAATTGTAGCTGGAGATGGACAGAATGCCTTTATTTTATTTATTTATTTTTATGTGGTGCTAAGGATCAAACTCAGTGCCTCACACATGCTAGGCAAGTGCTCAGCCACTAAGCTATATCCACAACCCCATATCTATTATAATTTTGCTCAAGAAATATATTTATTGCCAGCTGAAAATGTGAGTCAAGCTGAAACTTTTTAAAAATTTTTTTAGTTGTCAATAGACACTACCTTTATTTATTTTTATGTGGTGCTGAAGATTAAACACAGTGCCTCACACATGCTAGGCAAGCACTTCACCACTGAGCCATAACCCCAGCCCCACCTAAAAATTTATTATATTCATGACAATTGCCTTAGTCTATTGAAATAGACAAATTTTGAAGATTTGGGGTATTAAGTTTTTATTTATCTATTTCCTTCAGGATTTTATAAATCTAAGTCTCTTTTAAAACCAAAATAAGCTATCATACACCAAAATGTCATATTTGCAAATCCTGAACAATTTTTGAACAGCATGGGTTATTAAGTGTGCTTAGTTATTACTAAAAGGTAGAGAAGATAGAGGGACTATGACAAGAATATCTAATAAATTGAATAAGCACAAAATAATTTGATCTCTAGTGAGAAACTATAAAATTTTAATTTAGACATGCAAATTTTCTTCTCATCCATTCAACAAATACTTTTTGAATACCTATTCTGAGTTGAATTATGCTCCCCAATATATGTTCAATCCTAGTTTCTATTACCAGTGAATGTAATCTTATTTATAAATTAGATCTTTGTGGATGTGATCAAATTAAAATGAGGTCAAGGATTAACATTAACCCTAATCCAAACCCCATATCCTTATATAAAGAGGGAAATTTCGTCAAAGAACTACACAGAAGGAAGAGAAGCCAAAGGAAATCAAGGATTGTTGGTAACCACCAGAAGCTAGAAAAGGCAAGAGTTTTTTTCCGTAGAGACTTTGGAAGAAGCATGGCACTGCTGATTTTGAACTTCTTAATTTTGAACTTCTATTCTCCAGAACTATGGGATAATAAATGTCTGTTGTTTTAAGCCATCTATTTTGTGATAATTTGTTATAGCAGCCCTAAGAAATGAACACAACAATACTTAACTATTCACCCAGCATTAGGACACAGCAGCACATAAAATAGATCAAGTCCCTCCTCTCCTGGTACTCACATTGTAGATAGGAGGTAGGTGGGAACGCACACCATATTTCATTATATTGGTGATAACTGCTAAGGAGCAGCTTAACGCATTGTAGCTGAGATGTCGGGTGCAGGGGGGACAGTGAGTGTTTTATATATGATAGTCACAGAAGATATCTATGGAAGGGAATATTTGAGCAAGGACCTGAAGACTATGACGCAGCAAATCATGGAAATGTTTAGAAGAGCATTTGAGGCACAGGGAACAGCAGTACAAGTGCTCCAAGGAGTATGTGTAGGTTAGTGTGTCTGAGAAATGACCAAGAGGCCAATGTGGCCAGATGATAGGGAGTCAGAGGAGAGTGGTAGGAAAGGTATGTGGAGGTGGATGTGTTAGTTCCTTTTCTGTCGTTATGTGGTAAATACCACAGACTGGGTCATTTAT